TGAGGACTTACTGAGACTACAAGGACCTACTGAAACTACAAGGACCTACTGAAACTACGAGGACCTACTAAGTACTATGTAGAAACAACTGTTTCTGTCACGAGTTGACACGGCGTCTAGCCGTTTTTTAATTTTTCCTTTTCGCGGGTTCGAACCCGCGACCTCTGTACTACTTGCCCGATATGGACGCGTCGTTATCTACTGTACGATTAGATTAGATAGGACGGCAGTGCACGGCACAGCTCGGGCTCCGCTGACACAGCCGCTCTGACTCACCGGCCCCCGGGGCCGCGTCGGCATGCTGCGCACGGACCAGCTGCGCACAGACCAGCTGCGCACGGACCAGTGCGCACAGCCTGCCCTTATCTCCCCATGTATATAAGCCGGCCTCTGCTGCCCTAGGGACCTCAGTTTCGACCTCTTGTCCCTAGGTCAGTAAGCATTCATGTATCTGCTTACTTACTTATACTAACTAATATATTACTTGTCCCTAGCCTTAGGTTTGAGCCTTGCTCACCATCGCTTCGGTGAGAACCAGTCGGACGCCCCTTGCTTCTAGGTATTCCCCTGTCGCTTGACCTCAAGTCGCGACATTAGGTCGAAACTCTCCCAAGCGACCGGCGTTCTCTCGGAACCCACATACTCACACTTTCCTTTCCCATAGGTCGGGTGGTGCGCACCCTCACTATACCTTACGATATGTAGATAGCCTACTATACACCGCCAACACTAGAGAGACGAACTCTTCAGTACCTGCGCTTCAGTGAGCGGTACTTGTCCTCACGGACGCGTAGCCTTGGTTCCTGCTGCATAAAAGTCAAAAGCAGTATTGGGCCCTACGTGAACTGCGAATCTCAGTGTCATCTCGGGCGCCGTAGGTGTAAGCTAGATTAGCACGGCCTTTCGTAGTACGCGCACCTCCCCGTCCTCCCCCCATCCATCGTGGCTGCCTGCCAAGGCCAGATCCACGCATTCGACTCCCAGGACCTCATCGACGTCTACATCCCAGACGGCCCTGAGACTATCCTCTACCGTTGCAAGCAGCAGCCATGCCCAAATCGGACACCCCGATCGATCGAGGAAGATTACCCTCGCTACAAAGCAATCCGATGGGCTCAACACCCCCTCGGTCCCCGCAGCACCCTCGCATCCCGATCTGCCTCGCGGTACTCTCGCCCTGTCTCCCCTACCTCTCGCCTTCCCCAAACTGTCGCCGAGTCCAGTCAAGCTCGAGGAGATCTCCCTCCAGACCCTGCGCCAGAGCCTGAGCCTGAGGAGGGTGCAGGTGAAGAAGGAATCTCGGAGTCCGAGTCCGAGGATTCTACTGGGTCCGCCTCGCCGACAGCGCTCGCCCCCGCGTCAGCAGTCCCTGACGTACGTGACCCCTCCGCCGAACTTCCTTTGGCGCCTTCACCGCCGACTCTGCCGAGAGGCTGCTCGAGCACTCGCTCCTCTTGAGGTTCGACCAGCGGAGGGCCACCACAGCCGCCTCCGCCTCCGCAGCGTCCTCTGTCCCCCCCGACGCCGATAATGTCGTCCCCTGCAGCCGCCCCCGACAAGGAGACTTTGAAACTTCTCCTCCCACTCCGATACGATGGCAAAACAGTCATCGAATGCAACCGGTTCCTGTCGCAGCTGCGCATCTACTGGCTGGTCAACACATTGTTGACCACCATCGAGCTTAAGGTGCAGGTCGCTCTCAGCCTGCTCGATGGAGATGCCCGCGCCTGGGCCACTCCCTACTTTGCCCAGCTCGCATCGGTGCAGGTGGGTGTGCAAGGGGCCACGACCCCATTCGCAAACGAAGCGGCCTTTGCCGCCGCCTTCAGGGCCCGCTTCGGAAATCTCGACGACGAGACGGCAGCACAAGTAGAGCTGATGAAGCTCTGCGCGGACAAGTCAGTCCATGAAAAATGCACCGCCGCGGAGTTCTCCGCGCTGTTCAAGGGTCCGGCGGATCGCTCTGGGTATGGGGACCTGGAGCTACGCGACAAGTACCTGAGTGGCATCCCCTCCCGCGTCTACCGCAAGATCGAGCTCGAGACCTTCACCACGTGGCAAGCAGCTGAGAAGCGCGCCACCGAGGTCGAGCAGATTTTTGACATCAGCCAGGCCCATCGGCCCGAACTAAATAACTTCTTCTCGGCCCGAGGTCGAGGACGCGGTGGGGCACGTGGTGGTGCACCCCAGTCACACGCAGCTTCGGCTAGCATCAATGCGGCCGTCGGAAAAGGCAACTTCCCCGGCACATGCTTCCGCTGTGGGAAGCAAGGGTACCGACGTTTCGAGTGCCCCAATTGTAAGGACAAGCCTTACACAAAATGCGCCGACACGCGGGCTACGGCTGCCTTGGGCTCCACCCAGGCTGCGACAAGCGCCCCCATCACGACAACACCCTCGGCAAGTATAAGTGCCGCTTCAGCAAAATCCAAGCAATTGGAGCTGGCGGACTTAATGGCACAGGTGAAGTCGATGCGCGAGGAGCTCGAACACTATCGGGCGATGAAAGAGGAGGGTTTTTGATCCGGTCCGCGCTTCGTGCTGCACGCGTCGGGCCGCATATATCCTGTAACAAGTATAACGTATTGTCGACTGCAATGGTGTATGAATTGGACCAGGGGTCCCAACACTTCCACATTCCAGTCCGACTTCAAGGAAAAAGACGGCACAAAGACATAATCGCTATGGTGGACAGCGGAGCCACCACGAAATTTATCAACAAGCGATTTATTGAAGAGAATAAGGTGCAAACGCGGAAATTGAAAGAGCCGATTCCGCTGTACAATATCGACGGCACCCTGAACAAGGACGGAAGCATCTCGGAGGTAGCAGTGCTACAGATGCCTATAGGAGAGCACGTTGATAGGCGCCAAGCCCCTCTGGGCCCCGATTCACCTCTTTTCGGCACTCGCATCCCGCCCGGCACTTCGACTCAGTCTCCCAACACTTCGATTTCGCCTTCGACGCTCTTCGACACCTTCGACGGTGCGCGACGCTTACTCGAAGCTCGGCACGGTCGTCCTGATGCCTCGTGCGTAGATCTCGGAACATCTTCCGCATTCGGCGAACAATAGGGCCACTTGACGCCGCTCGGCCAAGCGCGCGCTTCGCTCCAAGCCACACCAAAGTAGCCGGTCTTTCCCGATTAGGTATCGAACCTCGCGGCATGCCTTCACGACGGCTACCGGTCCGAAGTGGCCATATGTTGCTCTTCATCTCCGCGTTCGGCATGACGTCACTCTACCGATGGACTTGGTATGTGCCTCTCGGTGAGGCAGGTTCTTGAGGAACAATGCAAAGCCCCTTGTACCCGTATGCCACTCTCGAATAGTCGTAGCATCCTGTGTAGTATAAAATCTGTCGTAGTTCTCCCCAAAAATACAAGATCCGTTCCCCCCCTCGAGTTCAGAGCTCATAAGTCGAGTTCGCCCCGCGTCTAAGCTTTCAACTGCGTCACTTTGTCCCTCGCTGCGTAACTTCGAAACCTCGTCCACCGCGTTTACTCGTCGATACAGTCTCGACGAACCCTTTGACTTCGATGATTGTTGAAGAAACTGCGAACCGCATCCTAGCTAAGTCCCCCCCTTCGAGTCGTGTCCCTTCTCTCTACGATACATCGAAGAGCTCTGCCGAGCTTCGATCGTCGCTAACTTTCCACAGCCTCCGAGTAGCTTCG